TGTTGCTGAGGCTGGCTCTGAACTCGCCATCCTCCTGCCTCAGCCTCCTGAGCCACTGGAATTATGGACGTGGCACCATCACACCCAGCTTATCACATACTCTTAAGACTCCATTTTATCTCCTTCATTCACTTACTAACTATAAATCCTTGCTTTCTTCTTTTTGTGGATGATTTGGAGTTCATAGTGCACATCGTTATCACAGTCTGCCTTCAAGCCACCGAATGCCACTTCACCTGAAGTACAAGTACTTTTCTATAGAATATCCTGGTCCTTTGGCTATTGTTATCATACTTTTAAAATATTTTTCAAGTTGTAGATGGACACAGTGTCAGCACGCTGCTTTGTTCTAAGTTGCCACTAAGTCGCCACCAAGTCGCTGCCACCGACCTGACATACAGTACCTTTATTTTATTTATGTATTTATTTATTTACTTATTCATTTATTTGTATGTGGTGCTGAGGATGGAACCCAGGGCCTCCTTGTGCTAGGTGAGCCTCTACCACTCAGCCCCAGCCCCAGCCCCAGCCCCAGCCCCAGCCCCGTTATCATACTTTGTACCCAAACCTGTGCTATGAGCCTCATTCAACATTGTTTCTATTTTTTTTAAGCAGTCAATTATCTTTTTTTCTTGGTTTCTTTTAGTTATACACGACAACAGAATTTACTTTATGAAAACACGGGATATAATCTGTTCTCCTTCGGCTTCCAGTTCTTCCCCTTCCCCTCCCTCCCCCCACCCCCAGTTCCCTTCCCTCCACTCTTCTAATCTTTCTGCTATTTACTTACATTTTTTTAAATAAGTGTCTTATGGATGTCCGTGGTGGTGGGATTCACTGTGTGTGTTCATGTATGTACATAGAAATGTCAGGTCAGATTCCTTCCACTGCCTTTTCTATCCCATCCCTCCTCCCTTCCCTTCATTCCCCTTTGTCTACTCCACTAATCTTCTATTCTTTTTTATTATTATTATTATTCCTGCTCCCTTATTTTGGATTTTGCTTCTGCATATCAGAGAAAACATTTGACCTTTGACTTTTGGGGACTGACTTAGCACTACTTAGTACTATTTCACTTAGCATGATAGTCTCCAGTTCCATACATTTATCAGCAAATGCCATAAAGTTGTTGTTCTTTATGACTCAGTAATACTCCATTGTGTGTGTGTGTGTGTGTATCACATTTCCTTTATCTGTTCATCTGTTTTAATTCTCTTTTTAAAGGTTTAAATAATGGGGGGAACTTACATATTTATACATATTGTTACCATTTCTGGTGTTCTTCATTCTTCTGTGTAGATTCATTCTTTAATCTGATACCATGTTCCTTCCACCTGAAGAACTTCCGTTAACATTTCTCATAGTGAGGGTTGGCTGGTGATTAAGTCTTTAAATTTTTGTATATTAAAAACATTTCTATGTTGTGTTACTTTTTGGAAGACGTTTCTGTAGGTGGAGTATTCTGGGTGGAAATATTGGTTATTTCAGTAAAGATGTTGCTCCACTGTTTTTTCTCTTGCCCTATTTCTGATGAGAAATCTGCTATCACCCTTATCTTTATTCCTCTGTATGTACTGTGTCTTTTTCTTAGTCTGCTTTTAAGATTTTCTTTTTACATTGACTTTGAGTAATCTGATTATTCTGCATCTTTCATGATATCATGTTTTTGTGTTCAAAGTTCCTTAATATTCTTGGTTCTATGTGCATAATTTTCATCAAATTTGGAAAATTGTTCAGCCTTCTTTCTTCTAACATTTTTCTCTCCTCACCTTTCCCTCCTTTTCTCAGGAATTCCATTTATACATACATGAGACCACTTGATTCTCTCACAGGATTCACTGAGGCTCTGTTTAATTTTCTCTTCTCTCTGAATTTCACTTTGAATAGTTCCTGTTGCTAGGACTTCCACTTCACCAATCTTCCGTTCAGCAATGTCTAATCTACCTTAAATACAATCCAGTGTATTCCTGAATTCATATGACTCTCTTAGTGTCCTTGTCTGTTAATTATAACATTTGTATCAGTCTTTTTTTAATTTTTTAATATTTATTTATTTTTTTAGTTTTCGGCGGACACAACATCTTTGTTTGTATGCGGTGCTGAGGATTGAACCCGGGCCGCACGCATGCCAGCTGAGCACGCTACCGTTTGAGCCACATCCTCAGCCCATGTATCAGTCTTGATTGATATTTTTCCTCCATATTCTCATGCAGGTAACATTTTTCAATTCCAGAAATCATGGTTTTTACCTTGTTAGGAGCTGGTTGTTTGTATTCATATAAATATTCCAGAGCTATATTTTGGAGTACAAATAAGTTATTTGGAAGGCATTTATTCCTTCTGCTCTTGTTTGTAAGATTTTTTCATGAATTTTGAGAAATGTTCAGTCTATAGCTAATTATTCTCAATCACCAGGCAAGACTGTCCTACGTCCCACTGCTCCATAAATTGTGCACTGTGTTCAGTCTGGCTGATGGCAGCAGACATCGTCCTGGCCCTGAGTGAGCAACTGGCACAGCTTCCTCCAGTCCTCTCCAGGGTTCATCCCTCACCTCAGGTGATCTCCTTACATGCACCCAGCAGTTGTCAGCTACACTCTCTACAGGACCCTCTGAAGGTCTCACCATCCCTCCCCGTGCAGCTCCAACCCTGCACCCTGTCCTGTGAACTCAGCTGCCTTGGTCCAGGAAGACTCTCCACCAGGGAGTACCTTGGGCTCCGCTGGGTTCCTCCTTCCTGCACTGCAGCTTGGGGACAAAGGCCACTACCTGAGGCGATTGTAGGGGTCCTCTCTTTTGTTGTCATCCCTCAGGGATCGCTGACCTTATTTCCTGACGCCCTGCGCCTTGAACAGTGGTTTGTTTCCACACGTGTTTTTCATTCTGTGGTTGTTTCTGTGGGAAGGCAGGTCCCTCACTGTGACTTTGTCTTGGCATTCATTTGCACTTGTGTGGAGGGGTGGTGTGTGCTCCTGTGTGTGTGCCTGTCGTGTGTGTGTGTGTGTGTGTGTGTGTGTGTGTGTGTGTGTCCTGGTCTCTGCTGATGATCCGTTTCTTTCTCCTCCACTTCTCCTCTTCTGGGACAGCCACAGACAGAGATGATGAGAGGGACAGAGAGAGGATGGGAAAGACGTAGGAGGTGAGAGTCAGAGCAGGGGTGGTAGAGGTGGGCGGAGGCAGTGAGACTGTGACCTGGGGACATCAGGACACAGCCATTTGAGAGGCCTGTCTCTTGCAGTCCTGTGCCTCTCTGACTTGGGCTGGACACTCCTCTCCCCCGCCCCATCTTTCTCCTCCCTTCTTCTCTCCTTCTTGTTCTATATCTGTCCTTTCCTGGTCTCTGAGCTCCGGGAGCACAGAGTTGGGTCCAGGGTGATTGATGGTCTCCATTGCTGTGAATCTGCACCCTTCCTGTCCCAGACAGGGGTCAGATCCTAATTAATACGTGAATGAAGAGGACTCCATCTGCCCTTCTCTCTCTTCCAAAATAGGGAGTCGACACATTTCCTGCAAAACCAAACTAACCACTTGCCACCACCAAAGAACCTGGTCTAGGGAGTGGGGACAGCTGAGTCATCCCGGGCATGAGGCTCAGCTGAAGGCGGTGCTCAGTGTGAATCTCAAAGTCCAAGCGGCCATGCCCTATCCCCCCTGACCCAGGAGGAGGGAGCAGCACAGTGTGCCCTGTTTGTTCCTGACCTGGGAGAGGTGCCACCATGGACTTTCCTGACCTCAGGACCTTTCTCCTGCTGGGCTGGCTCTTGTGGCATTGAGCTTGGGTCCTCTTTCCGGCCCCAGGAAGCCGTGAAGGGCTTTCCACAGAGAAATTCACTGAGTCCTCACCTTTCAAGGAAGGTGCTGCTGTCGTCCCCGTGTCGTGGAAGGAGGGAGTGAAGCACAGAGCTTGAGACCTGCCCAAGCCTCACCGGGGCAGCTATAGACGAGGTGTCGGACCCAGGCTGTCTAACCCGAGTGCCTGCTATTGTACCCACTTTGCTTCGCTGCCCCTCTCAGAGACATGGGCACACTCTGAGAAGTGCTTTCGAGTTAGAACGAAGCACTGATTTTTAGAGTCAGGCTTGAGTTCCCCCCACAGCTGGGCTGTTCATCGGTTGTGCTGACACTTGGCAAATGCCTGCTCAGCTTAGCCTCAAGTGTCCTCATCTGGACGCTGTGGGTACCTACGCTGAAGGAACAGGGCACTTTGCTCATGCTCAGTGGATGCAGAGTTGCCACAGGGAAAGACACAGAGACTCAGAGACTCAGAGTTGGAGGCTGAGGGTGGCAGAAAGACAGACAGACCAGGAAAGATGAGAATGAGACAGGGAGGGACATGGCAAAGTGGTCACTCATTTATTCATTTGACCAGCATTTGTTGAGCACCTATTATGTGCCAGGCTCTCTTCCAGGCACTGGGGACAGAGCAATGAACCAAACAGGCCCTCAGGAGAGAGCATTCCAGCAGGAAAGACAGAAGCCAGGGAAACAGAGATGGACACAGCGATTCCCAGTGTCAAGGTGACGCTCTGGTGTGGCCTCCAGGTGCTCTTCTGCCAGCATCCGTCTTGATCTGTGCGTGTCCACTAAATGCCAAGGGCGAGGCGTTTCCATTGCCAGCCTTGGGTGAAGGACGGGAGGAGAGACACTTGGAGACGGGGGCCACCCTGGGAGACAGAAATGATGCTGAGGGGCAGCAGTCGGGCAGGAGGGGGGCAGAGACACGGGAAAGGGGCTGGAGATGGCGAAGAAGCCGGAGATCTGGAGGGGGCTGGAGACAGGCTGAGGAGGGACTTGGGAGCCACAGACGCTGAGAGGCAGGGAAAGCAGTGGGAAGGATCCCGGCAGAACTGCCAGCCCCTCCCTGCCTGTGCCTGGGACTTGCAGGCGCTTGCACAGCTCCTTCCTCTTCCTGCTGGGCCTGCCCTGGTCCTGCGCTCAGGCCTGCCCAGCCCCATGGCCCTCCCAGTGGCTCTCCTCTCTTTCTTCCTCCTTCTCCTGCTGATGGGCCTGGTCCTCTGGAGCAGGGCTAGGGACACGGGCGCTGGCCTGCCCCCGGCCCACCCCCCTCCCAGGGCTGGGCAACCTCCTGCAGCTGCAGGGGGGACCCCTCCTCCAGGCTCTGCTCAGGGTAAGCCCAGAAGGGGCTCAGAGCCCAGGCTGCCTCTGCGGCTCCTGCCCCCTCCCAGGACAGGTAACAGTGGGGACAGGGGACAGGCGCACGAGATGGCAGCAAGGAGGAGAAGGGTTTTCTAATCAGAAACACCTAGGGGTAAGAAGAGACATAGAGACAAGCAAAGAGAAGAGAGAGAGGAGGAGGAGGAGAGGAGACGCAGGGATCACCGAGAGAGGAGAGCCCTAGCCAGGAGAGGAAGAGAGAGGGTGGGCCGAGGTGCACAGGAAGAGCGAGCCGGGCTGTCACAGAGAGGCCGAGACACTCAGACCAAAGGAGGGCTGGGGGACCTCAGAGAGACCATCATGAGATGGGAGAAGCCAAGAGAGGTGGCCACCAGCGAAGGGGCCCTGGAAGAAGCTGGGCTGGGATAGAGCAGAGCACGCGTGGCTCCGTGGAGACATGCAGGACAGGGCACTGAGAATCAGAGACAGAGACCGAGGTGCCCAGCGCTGCCCAGGAACCAAAAGAAACAGTGAGATGGAGACACACACTCGGGGGACAGCGACAGAGACCAAGGCCGAAGGAGACGACCCCCTGCCCAGAACCTGCAGACACACTCTGGACAGGCCCTGGGCAGCTCGGGTTCAAGATCACTGTCCTGTCGCTGCAGCTGAAGGACCAGTATGGGCCGGTGTTCACGGTGCGCCTGGGCCCAACCCCGCTGGTGGTGCTGTGCGCAGCCCAAGCGGTGCGTGAGGCTCTAGTGGACCAAGCGGACGCCTTCGGGGGGCGCGCAGACGTGGCCATCTCCGAGAAGACCAACCGAGGCTACGGTGAGGCTGGAGGGGAGCGGGAGTGGCGGGCACAGGGCTCTGGTGACGCATCCCTGTGTAAGTGCCCACGTGCTGGGAGCCAGAAGGTGTGGCCCCTTCCTGCAGTGTGACAGCCGGTAGGTTACCTAACCTCTCTGTGCCTCCCCTCCCTATCTGTGAGAATATTCTACTTGCTCCCTGCAGGCATCGCTTTCAGTCAGGGCGAGCGGTGGAGGACCCTGCGGAGGTTTGCCCTGACCACTCTTCGCGACCTGGGCCTGGGGAGGCGGAGCCTGGAAGAGCGGATCCAGGAGGAGGTGGGCTGCCTGGAGAGGGAGCTGGAGAGCACGTGCGGTGAGGGCCTGGGGCCGGGAGGGGGCGTGGTGCACACACGCTGCGAGTCCTGGGCTCCTGCGGGTGTAGGAGCGCGGGTGGGAATCCAGTTCGTACTGAGAGTCCGCCCCCCCTCACCTGTGGCCTTGACCAGCCCCTACCCCTTCCTTCCTGGTGGCCCCTGCCCTTAAAGAGAGCACATCCATTCTTTTTCCTTGGCCAATAGGAGAGTAAGTTTTATGTTAAATCTATGTTAAATTTAAAACCTCCGGGAGCTTGAGGGCAGAGCTACTGCTGGGGCCATAGGTTCCCCTCTGCGAATTAGAAAGGGTGCCCCTATCTCAGGACACCTGAGCTGTCATCATAGATATATTGAAGTGGCACCCCCTCCTCCATAGAAAAGTCCTAACTGGGCTGCTCCAGACATCCCCACCATGGCTGACTTTAGGACTGTCAGCAGAAGAGTCTCTGCAGCAGAGTCCATTGTAGATAAACTTCCTATTTTCCTGTCGCCCTGTTTACTTGGCCACTGGCCAGGAAGATACCAGCCCTCCAGGTGCTGGACGCCCCGTCACTAGTTTTTCACAAACATGTATCCAGTAGAGTAGTTTGTAGAAATGTGCAAACAAGGCCTCTGGCCTCGGGCTGGGCTTCACAGAGATGTCTACGTTCCTAAGAGGAGAGAAGTTACCGCCTGGGCTCCATGGTAACAGCTGGCAGGGGAGGAAAGAGAGGGGAGGAGAAGCTCCCCCCTTCTCAGGTGTTGTCCTTGAAGGGTTAACTTGCCCAGAACAGTGAGGGAAAAAGCTGCTTTATGTGAACTTCTGCAGACCGGGAACTTCTGAGCCCCTCCCCTTACATGCTGGGTGTAAAACTCCTGAACTCCGGGTTCAGGGGGTTGATTGATTACAACCCCTGAACCTGGCTGCAGCCAAATAAAACTGTGTCCTGCTGTCTCCTGTGCCCTGCGTCGTCTGTCCCTACAACAGTATGAATCCAGGTGTCTGCAGTGTCACTGGAGCCCCTCAGATGCCGCACCTTGGAGCAGTGCACAACCTGCACCATCTCCCGGATGCCCGTCCGCAGGACCTTAACAGAACCAAACCCTTGACCCAGAATGTGTGTCCCCCTCCTTAGCCTGTCCAGCTGCAAATCCTGCACATTCAGGTCTCGGCTCAGACGCACCGCTCCAGGAAGTCTCCGCTGACCAACCCTGTCCCCCTCCATGCCGGGCTGTCGGGGCCACCTCTGGGCTCCCAGGAGCGCTGTGCTTCCCCCCTCGCAGCGCAGACATTCCTGGGCCATGATGGGGACCACAGGAGAGGCTCTCGACCAGGCTGGGAGGGCTTGGCGGAGGCTCTCCGGAGGAGCTGTCTGTGCCTACTCTAAGTTCCATCTTTCTGTAGCCTACAGGGTGGTGGCAAGAGGCGAGGTTAGAGTGACAGGCAGGGCCAGACGTGGGAGGCCCTTTTGTCCTTGTTAAGGGCTTGACAGCTGCCTGGAGGGTGCACGGGAGCCATGGAATGTTTTAGAGCAGGGGAGTGAGTGGTCAGATGAGTGCCCAGCAGGCATCCCCGGGCTCTCACGTGTTGGCCTCCCCCCCACAGGAACGCCCTTTGACCCCACCTTCCCCATTTGCCGCTCCACGGCCAACATCATCTGCTCTGTGGTCTTTGGCTGCCGTTTCCACTACCAGGATGAGGACTTCAAGACCTTCCTGGGGCTGCTGGCCGAAAACCTCAAGCAGATGGACACGTTCTGGGTGCAGGTGCCTAAGTCCCCTCTCCAGTCCCCCCACCACCCCAGGGCCACAGGCCTCCTCCCAGGTCCCGTCGAACTCTCAGGGCCACCGTGATTCACCTCCACTGGGTGCAGCCTCCGCCCTGTCCTTATGGGGCCCACAGCCTTGGGGGACACACAGACCCATCGCCAGACCCGGGTGACCCAGAGTAGTCAGGCTGTGACAGCCAGCCAGCGCCCACTGAACCCCCCGCTCTGTGCCAGCCTGTGCTGGGGGCTGCCAAGGACACAGAGGTGACCAGGGACTCCCTCATGAAGCCCTCACTCCAGGGGGGCAGGTGAACCTGTCGTGAGACAGTCACCACTTAGGATGGACAGTGCCAGGGTGGGGAGGCACAGAGAGGAGGTCAGGATGGGAAGGGAGGCACAGGCTGAGGAGTCGGGGCCAGGATGGGGAGGCTCTGTGGCACCTCAGGCACTGCCCGGCAGGGTCCAGAGGTCAGGGGAGGCTCTCTAGAGGACAGAGAGGACATTCCATCCAAGTGAAGACCTAAGCAGTGAACAGGAGCAAGCTGATGTGGGGGTGGGGGCAGAGAGGAAGTGCGTGGAATAGCATTTAAGGCAGAGGGAACAGCAGGTGCTAAGACATTTCTTCCCCATGGTCTCCTTCTCCCTCTAGGCATATGGTCTTTTCCCCGCTCTCCTGAGGCACCTTCCTGGACCACACAACCGGCTCTTTGAGGTCTTTGAGAAGCAGAAGGAGTTTATGGCCCGGGTGGTGAAGGAGCACCAGGACTCTGTCGACACAGCTCACCCTCGGGACTTCATTGATGCTTTCCTCATCCGCATGCAGCAGGTGGGATTGCAGTGAGACACGCTCCTTTCTGGGTCTCAGGAGCCTGAGGTTCTTGGAGCGCCCTCAAATGAGACGGGTCCCCCCTGTGGCCTTTCAGGTTCCTGTGTAACCAGTTGCAATTTTCTCCAAATCTCGAGTTTTCTATTCATAAAATCCGGGGGCCAGTAGTGGAGCTTTGGTCTAGATTTGCAGCTGTAACCAGGCTCCATCTCGTGTGTTGTCTTTGTTCAGTTCATAACAGGGATCTGAGGAGATTTCTGAGTTTTTTTGTGAAATAAATGCCTGCAGCCAGGTGTGGGGGCCCACGCCTGTAATCCTAGTGGTCAGGAGGCTGAGGCAGGAGGATCGCAAGTTGAAAGCCAGCCTCAGCCACTTAGTGAGGCCCTAAGCGACTCAGTGAGACCCTGTCTGTAAATAAAATATAAAAAGGGCTGGGGCTGGGGCTCAGTGATAGAGTGCTTGCCTTGCACGTGCGAGGCCCTGGGTTGAATCCTCAGCACCACAAGTAAATAAACAAATAAAATAAAAGTATTGTGTCCAACTAAAAAAAAAAAAAAAAAAATGTACTGTGCCGCAGTCTGGCTGAGCACGATTCAGGAGCCACTTGTCAAAAGTAACGAACTTTATTTTTAGAACCACACACGCCAAACAAAACAGCTCCTCAGGAAAAACCCTCAGAGCCCAACTGCCACCACCGGCTTCCCACAAGCCTCTCACAACCACCTCCCACAATCCTCCTGCTCTTGAGGCTGATTGGCTGGGTCGCATGGGTTGAGCCAAAAAAGTCCCCCAATGAGCAGCTCCGTGGTCTGAAAGGGCAGAGAAACAGCCCAATGAGCATCACCACAGAGGAGCCAATCAGCTAGATGTTGCTGGGGCCGCTCTGAGCCAATCATCAGCCGGCAGCTGGAAGTTTGCTGGGGCCCCTTTCGGCTGTGGCTCTCAACATCTCCCCCTCTCTGTTTAAACAACAAGCATGTGGCTTAGGGACCGTGCCTGCCTTAGGTTGTCCAATACTACATATGGTTCTTACCCGTTATCGGATGAGCTGACCTCAAGATGTCAGCCTCCTGTCTTAGGTTGGTACCATTGCAATTGGATCTTACCTGTCACTGACTACCGGTCCAGTATATAGCCACATCTGTGGAGGTCTTTGTACTAGTGGGGAGGTGAGGTTCTTTGCCTCACCTCTGTTGGCCCCCAAATTTTAGCTGAACGATCATGACAAGCAGAAGGGAGGAAGATACACCAAGCCAATTGACGGCTCCTTTTGGAAAAATTGTACCACCGATGACACCATCAGCATAAATACCCCAACACTACCACAAGTCGCTGCACCAACAGATAGTTCACAATGCATACAAGTGAGTTCACAATGCATACAAGTGATACATAGTCCAGGCAAGTTCTGCAAGCAGTTCAGTGATGGCTATTGCAGAAGCTGTAGATTGGTTTTATCTTTGTCTTCACCAGCACTGGGATGAAGATAGGAATTCTGGCAATAATGGCTAAAGAAAAAATTATGTAACAATCCAGAAGGCACTAAAAGAAAACAATTTTCTTAACAATTTACATTATCTTGAAGAGAATTATTAAATATAATGAAAAGGAAAGGTGAAAGTAAACAAACAGACCTGTTAACCTCCTTTTTTGTTCACATATTAAAACAATCCTCAACAGTTGTTTACCCAATTTAAATTAAACCATTTAAATCACGTGAATAAAAAAAAAATATTTGGATCCATTTTTTCATGAGCGCTCATCATATATGATATATGGACATACGTACATTCAAACATATAACACAAAACACAAGTGTGCACACATAATATAATACATACAACACATAACATTATAGTAAAGGCCTTATAACTTTTTACAGGTGAAATCTCCATTGCAATGTTTAAAAACTCTATAGTCAAAAAAATAGAACTGATCAGCAAAACATTAATCTAGGTCTGTATGAGCTCAAAAAACAAAATAGAACTTCATGATATGGGAAAGGGCAATAATAAAATAGATATTGAAAAAAGCATCCTGGTTCTGTCACAGATGTAAGAATAACCAAACTGGAGTTTTGGATATCAGTTGTTATGGATTTGAGCCAAATCATCTTCTTTTTGGTCTGTAGAAATCGCTTTATGGGCTGGGGATGTGGCTCAAGCGGTAGCGCGCTTGCCTGGCGTGCGTGCGGCCCGGGTTCGATCCTCAGCACCACGTACAAATAAAGATGTTGTGTCTGCCAAAAAATAAAAAATAAATATTAAAATTCTCAAAAAAAAAAAAAGAAAGAAAAGAAATCGCTTTAGTTAATCTCTCTGGAATCCAAATCGGCTGCTGTTCTCCCTGTGGAAACACATAAACAGACCCCCAACTCCAGGCAATCACTGGGTCAGGACCTTAGTTAATCTCTCTGGAATCCAAATCGGCTGCTGTTCTGCCTGTGGAAACACACAAACAGACCCCCGACTCCAGACAATTACTGGGTCAGGACCTTTCCATTGTCCTGTTAGAATATCCTTCCAAAGTACCTTGGGCTTATGTACATTTTTTGGACACATATGCCTTTCCGCAGCACTAAGTCCTGGTGAATCCAAATTTAAAAAGTTTAGAGTAAAAAGGGTTATTTTAAGTTTATCTTTGGGGAATATATACCCCTTCCCAATTCCGTCTTTTTGCTTTAATAAATACATTTTAATAGTTTGATGTGCTCTTTCAACTATGCCTTGTCCCTGTGGATTGTATGGGATTCCTGTTATATGAGTAATGCCAAATGATGAGCAAAAGAGGTAGAAGTATAACCAGGGGCATTATCTGTTTTTAACTGTTTTGGAACGCCCACAGTGGCAAAATTTTGTAAGCAATGAGCTATAACATCTTTAGTTTTTTCTCCGGCATAAAGGGAGCCCATCAAAAATCCAGAAGAAGTATCGACTGTAACATGCAAATATTTTAATTTTCCAAATTCTGGCAAGTGTGTGATGTCCATCTGCCAAATATGGTTAGGTTTCAATCCTCTAGGATTGACTCCAAGATTAACTTGTGGTAAAAAGGTCACACAATTTTGACATTGTTTTATTATTTGTCTAGCTTGTTCCTTAGTTATTTTAAAATGCTTTTGTAAAGTATTAGCATTGACATGGAACTTTTTATGAAAATTTATAGCTTCTTCTAGTGTAGAGAAAATATGTATGTCATGTGTAATTTTATCTGCTAAATCATTGCCCAAACTAAGGGCTCCAGGCAATCCTGTATGTGCCCTGATATGTCCTATAAAGAATGGATCTTTTCTGTCCCAGATTAGACTTTGTATAGTGGAAAGCAAAGAGAAAACAGTAGAGGAAGGGGAAATCCTATCAGCATCTTCAAGGGATACTATAGCATTAACTATATACTGACTATCAGAAAATAAATTAAATACAGAATCTTTAAACATCACAAAAGCTTGTAATACTGCATTAAGCTCTACCTTTTGAGCTGATTGTTTGGGTACTAAAAATGTAAAAGTTTGATCAGGTGTAACTATTGCTGCTGTACCATTATTTGACCCATCAGTGAATATATTTGGAGCATTCATGATAGGTGTTTTTCTTGTCATTTTTGGAAAAATTACAGGATGCGATGACCAAAAAGACAATAAAGGATTAGATGGTAAGTGGTTATCAAATGAAACATTAGATTTGCATTTGATTGTTGCCCAAGTATTTAACTCATTAGCTAACTCATCAATTTGATTCATAGTATATGGAGTAATAATTTTATTGGGAGAAATTCCAAACACTCCCTTTGCTGCTTTTATTCCTTTGAGTATTAATTGTCCTACAGCCTCAGGATACCTAGTAAGAATAGTGTTAGGAGAATAAGATAAATGTATCCATAATAATGGACCTTCTTGCCAAAATACTCCTGTAGGAATATTTTTTGTTGGTAGTACAATAAATAATAAAGGCAAACTTATATCAATTCTATCCAAATGCATATTTTCCATATATGTTTCAATGATTTTTAATGCCTTTCTTGCTTCAGGCGTTAACAATCGGGGTGAATTTGGATCTGATGGACCTTTTAGGATATCAAATAAAGGTCCCAACTCTCCTGTTGGTATACCTAGATAAGGCCTTATCCAATTTATGTCTCCTAATAACTTTTGAAAGTCATTAAGTGATTTGAGTTGATCTACTCGTATTTGAATTTTTGGTGGACGGACCATGGTTGAGGATAATAGAACTCCTAAATAATTAATTGTAAAATTTAATTGTACTTTATCTATTGCTATCTCTAGATTATAATTTTTTAATAAGTTTGTAAGTGTGGCATAACATTCTAGCAATGTGTTTTTAGCTTTGTGTGCTAATAATACATCATCCATATAGTGAAATATTTGTAGTTCAGGATTTTGATTTCTAAGTGGCTGGATTACTTTGTTAACATAAATTTGACACATAGTTGGGCTGTTAGCCATCCCTTGAGGGAGTACTTTCCACTCATATCTCTGATCAGGACCTTCATGATTCAGTGCAGGGATAGTAAATGCAAAACATGGACTATCCTCAGGATGAATTGGAATTGAAAAAAAACAATCTTTAATATCTATAACTAAAACATACCAGGTTTTTGGCAAAGCAGACAATTGAGGAATCCCCAATTGAGCAGATCCCATAATAACCATCTCATTATTAATGGCTCTTAAATCTTGCAATAATCTCCATTTACCAGATTTCTTTTTGATGACAAAAATGGGAGTATTATGGGGAGATACAGAAGATTGTATATGTCCTTCCGCTAATTGTTGTTTGACCAGGTCATGGGCTTCTTGTATCTTTTCTTTAGTCAGGGGCCACTGAGGAACCCATACTGGTCTTTCTGATTTCCAAGTAATTTTTATTGTCTCAGTGGCCCTTTCTGAAAATCCAACCCATGTCTGTCTATTCCTTGATCTATTTGTATTGGTGCTGCTATACCTTGTTCTTGTTTTTCTAATCTTTTTTCTTTCCTAAAACCTTGTCTAGTCGTAATAGTGGGTGCATTTTGGTTGATGTTATTTGTTAATGTCAAACCTAATTGATCTAGGACATCTCATCCCCATAAATTTACGGGAAGATGATCCAATATATATGGCTGTATAGTTCCTTCACATCCTTCAGGGTCCTTCCAATCTAATACCATTGCACTTCTATGGGGATTAGTCGCCACTCCTAGGCCTCAAAGCGTTTGAGTGGCTTGTTGTAATGGCCAATGTTTTGGCCATTCTTGACGAGAGATGATGCTAAGGTCTGCACCTGTATCCAGTAGCCCATTAAATTCATATCCTTGAATATTTAGTTTTAGCATGGGGCGAGAATCTAAATTTAAAGAAAGCATAGCCCAATCTACACCTGTGGAGCCTAATCCCTTGGAACCTCTTTCTACAGCATGACTGGAAAATTTATCATGTAGGCTTGGTATTATTAGTAACTGTGCTATTCTATCTCCTGGTGAAATTACTGATATACCCTTTGGAGAACTGGCTATAATTTTTATTTCACCTTCATAATCGGGATCAATTACCCCAGGACTTATCATAAGTCCTTTTAGAGTAGAAGAGCTGCGTCCCAATAATAAGCCTACCGTTCCTTTGGGAAGAGGTCCTTTTACCCCTGTGGGAATGATTTGAACTCTCATCTCTGGAGTTAGTACTGATCTCCCTGTCCATTTTTTGGCAATGGAGCCCGATGCCTTTCTCCATGATATCGTGGATAAACACCTGGTCCTTGATCGTTTTTTGATAATGGAGTACCCTCTATGGTGGTTTGAGAATGGCATTCATTAGCCCAATGTCTCCCTCTACGGCATCATGGGCAAATACCCGGTATTCTACTCCTTTGATACCTAGTTTTATTAAACCCTCCTCCTATGGGGCAATTCCTTTTAAAATGTCCTGTTTGTTCACAATTGTAGCATGTTCTTGGCCTGGCATCTAAAGCCTGTTTTACTGCAGCTGCCACAATTTGCCCTTGTTCATTAATGTCTCTGGCATCTAAAGCCTGTTTTACTGCAGCTGCCACGACTTGCTCTTGTTCATTAATGTCTCTACATAATTTAATATATGTGTTTAAATCTTCATGTTTCCATAGTCTAATGATATCTCTGCACCAACGATTCGCTTGGTCATAAGCCAGTTGTTTTATTAATGGCATTGCTTGTTCTGTATTCCCAAAAACTCTGGTAGCTGTTTGAATAAGCCTATCTACAAATTCAGCGTAAGATTCATTAGCTCCTTATATTACCTTAGACAATTGACCTTGTAAACCTCCATGTCCTTGTAAAGTCTTCCATGCCCTAACCGCCTCTACAGCAATTTGTGCGTATACGCCAGGATCATATGCAATTTGTTGCTGCTGATCCTCATAAGGTCCCTTTCCTAACAACATATCTAGATTTCTCTGAGGATAACCAGCTGCTGCATTTCGCCTAGCCGTCTCCTTGCAAAATTCCTCATTGGCAACCTTCCATAACAGGTATTGACCTCCACTTAGCACAGCTTTACACATATTAGCCCAATCTGCTGGCGTCATGTTCAAGTTGTTAATGGATTCGACCAAGCTTACAGTGAAGGGTGCTTGAGGACCACAGGTTGTTACAGCCTCTTTTAGCTGCTTCACTATTTTGAAATTTAAAGCATGGTGAATTCGCTGCCCTCCTACCTCAAATACAGGGCATGTTAATACTTGAGATCCTGTCTCAGGATCCGAACTATCAATTGCGGGGGTTGGGGGCCTCCCAGCATATGGAGGTGGCCTTGTTAGTGGACATTTACGTCCTCTGGTGATAGAAAGGTGTTAGTAACAGTCTCCTGTAGAGGTGGCGCTGTTGGTTGGACAATTACACCCTCTGGTGATAGAAAGTTGTTAGTAGCAGTCTCCTTTTGTAACTTTCCCCCTGATGGCTTTTTCTGCTCTAAGCTTTGTTCCTCTATCTTTGTCTGAACTGAAGTCTTTGGACTAAGCAAACAAGATACGAACGTCCACAATGGCAATGTGCCAACTGGCAGAGTCCCTGGGCTGTTCTTTTCTATTCTTTTTAAATCTTCACCATGATGGTTCCATTGTGATATAGTTAACAACTCCTCCTTAAAAAGCCATGGGCTACATTTTTGTATTGTATCAACGTATGCCCTGACTGTTCTTGATTTTACTGAGATGCCTCCTTCCTCTAACAATTTACTTAACACTCTTTCAGTTTGTTTTTTACTAATTTCTGATCCCATAATTCTACTATAATACAACCCAACAAGATGACGCCAAACAAAACCGAGACAGAACGAAATAAAAAGGGAACAACAAAAAGTCATTATAGCCTTTCTATCCTCCTGACATGTGCATCCGTCCTTTCTCCCTATCTGTTCCTCAGACGTAAATAGTTTTTCCTCAGATGTGAGCGGTTTTTCTTCCATCTCACTCATCTCCAGGGACAGGCAACTTAAAACAAAAGTGAAGCAAAACAAAAGAGGAATCTTAAAATGGCTACCCATCCTCTCGCCCTGCCCTCAGGGGCGAGCAGTTTACCTTATCACTTACCCTCAGTCGCTCCTGCTCCCCGTGTGAGCCACCAAATGCCGCAGTCTGGCTGGGCACGATTCAGGAGCCACTTGTCAAAAGTAACGAACTTTATTTTTAGAACCACACATGCCAAACAAAACAGCTCCTCAGGAAAAACCCTCAGAGCCCAACTGCCACCACCGGCTTCCCACAAGCCTCTCACAACCACCTCCCACAATCCTCCTGCTCTTGAGGCCGATTGGCTGGGTCACGTGGGCGGAGCCAAAAAAGTCCCCCAATGAGCAGCTCCGTGGTCTGAAAGGGCAGGGAAACAGCCCAATGAGCATCACTGCAGAGGAGCCAATCAGCTAGATGTTGCTGGGGCCACTATGAGCCAATCATCAGCTGGCAGTCTGAAAGGGCGGGGAAACAGCTCAATGTGCATCTCCAATGAGCATCACCACAGAGGAGCCAATCAGCTAGATGTTGCTGGGGCCGCTGTGAGCCAATCATCCGCCGGCAGCTGGAAGTTTGCTGGCAGCTGGAAGTTTGCTGGCAGCTGGAAGTTTGCTGGGGCCCCTTGGCTGTGGCTCTCAACAGTACTGGAATTGATTGGTAATGCCTGCTATGGGCAAAGAATTTGGCAGTGAATGTACACATGCCACATATTTGCCTCCCCTGGGCTGGATGGTTCCTTTGGATCCTTCTCTAGCTCAGATACTCTGTGCTTTTGTGTGCAGGAGCAGGGAGACCCTCACACAGAATTCAACCAAGAGAATTTGCTCAATTCTGCTCTGGACATCTTCTTTGCTGGGATGGAGACAACCAGTACCACGCTCAGATAGGGGCTCCTGATCCTCCTGAAGTTCCCACAGGTTACAGATACGGAGTCCAGGTTACGGGACCAGCCCTCTCCCTCCCCAGCCTGATGTCAAATTGGTACAAGGGCCAGTTTGTATTGCTGAGGGGTTGGGTTAGGAATTGGAGAACAACCTATTTTTTTTAGGGGGGGGCACCGTGGGCTGAACCCAGGGGTGCTTAACCACTGAGCCACATCCCCAGCCCTTTTTATATTTTTATTTAGAGACAGTTGCTTGCTAAGTTGCTTAAGACCTCACTAAGTTGTTGAGGCTGGCTTAAACTTGGGATCCTCCTGCCTCAGCCTCCCGAGTTTCTGGGATTACAGGCATGAGCCACGGTGCCTGGTGGGAACATCCATTTTAGAAGCTGGAGGGAAATTACAGTTAACACATCCTGGGTTTAAAGTCTGGGAAGGGGAGGTGGGAAGGCAGGCAGGTGCCCAGGGCAATCGCCCTTCCCACAGTCAAGACTGTCTGTTTCCCACCCATTTTTCGGAGGGAGCAGAACTCATACAGCAAGAGATTGACCAAGTAGTGGGCCCAGAGAGACGGCCCTGCCTCGGGGACAGGCCCCGGATGCCCTACACAGATACGGTCCTTCATGAGATCCAGAGGTTTGCGGACATCATGCCTCTGGGAGTGCCCCATGCCGTCACCCAAGACACTGAGTTCCAGGGTTATCACATCCCCAAGGTACAGAGTGTGGGTCCCTCTGGTCCATCTGGAGTGTCAGGTCTCCTACAGGAGCTGCAAGGCTGGGCTTCCCAGTACTAGGTTCTCGGATTCTCCCAGAACCTGACCCTCACTCCATGTCCCTCAACCCAAGGAGGACTGAGATTGCAGAGTACCAGAGTACATCAGTTAGAACTAGGGCCCTAGAGACATCCGGAATCCCAGCACTGCCACGTATAAATTGTGTGACCCTAAGCAAGTGACTCAACCTCTCTGAACGCCAGTCTCCTTTTCTATGCAATGTGCATTACACTGATTATAGAGATCCAGTGAGTTGGGATCCATAGTAAATGCTTAAAAATTGTAGGGTTTGTTGTTGTTGTTGTTGTTGTTGTTTCTTTTTTATTATGACTACAACCAGATGTCTGTTCCCAACACCAAAGTCAGAGTGGTCTTATAAAACCCATTAGGGAGCCAGACCTGTAATCCTGGTGTCTCAGGAGACTAAGGCAGGAGGATTAGAAGTTTGAGGCCACCCTCAGCACCTAAGCAAGACCTTGTCTCAAAATAAGAAATAAAAAGGGTTGGGGAATATATCTCAGTGGTTAAGTGCCCCTGGGTTCAATCCCCAGTAACACCAAAACTAAAAAGTAAAAAATAAAACCTGTTAGACCACGTCCCTCCTCTGCTCAAAAGCCCTCCATGGCTCCCATCTCACTGGAAATAAAAGCCAAATGGCCCAGGAGACCCTGCATGCTCTGACACCTCTCTCTGGGCTTGTTACACTCTCTTTCTTGCTCAATCCAGGATCTTGGTGTCCTCAGTATCCCTGCATGTTCCAGGGCTCCTCTGCCTCAGGACCTTGGCACGGACTGTTCCCTCTGTCCTGAGTGCTCTTCCTGCAGACAGCCCCACAGCCTGCTCCCCCTGTCCTTCAGAACTTACCCAGCAGTCTCCTCCTCCTCCTCCTCCTCGGGGGAGGCCTCCTTGGCCCCTCAAGAGCCACTGGGCATGGTGCCCAGGGGAGTGTCTGTTGGTTTTGGTCCGAGTCAGGCATCTGCGTCTGTCCTAGGGAGTGGGTGCAATCTACCCGCCTTGCTCCTCAGCAGTTCAGTGTCCCCAGATGTCCTAGCATTGGCTGCCTGGCTCACTTGCCTGAACTGACAGCAAAAAAGGTGCCCTTTGAGAGAGGGAGCAGGAAACGGGTGACTTTTGCAAAAGCAGCGAGAACAGTGAAGGAGGATCCAAACCACTGAGTGCCCTCGTGGGGGCTGTTCCAGCTGTTCCACGGTCACCGTGGCACAAGCAACAGCAGGGCGGCCACAGTCCTCGAGAGGCACCTGTGTGAGACTTCAAAGGCACCTCCCCTGGGCCCAAGGCTCCTCTCAAATGCCTGGCATCAACAAAAAGCCCTTCTGGGACTCGGGTCCTGCTGGTGCTGGGCACAGACTTGTGTTGTCACTGGTTATTATTACTTAAGGGGTAGCCCTGAGCGAGGGCGATGACCATCAGAACCGACGGCAATAATAATAAGCGCTTGCTGAGTCTGTATCAGGTGACAAGCGTTTCTCTCTGCAGATGGGGGCGACTTGCCATCTTCCAACCTCCCGGTGGTGCAAAAACAAAGCACCCTCACCGGGAACCCTTCTTGGGATTTTGAATTTTGACCTTTCCCGGGCTGCGTGAGGCCATCTGGAGACTCAGGACAGGGGCCACAACTCCGGGTCAGCCACACAGTGGTCACACGGTGGTCACAGGGGGCAACAGACACCGCAGAGCCCTGGGTGGCTCAGGTGGAGTAAATGTGTCTTCAATTGGCAGTAGGATTCGTTCCCATGGCAACTGGAGGGGCACCCTCCCTATTTCCTTGACTCCTCTGAGTTATTATGCCCGTTTTACAAGGGGAGGAACTAAGATTCAGAGAGGAGTCACCTGCCAGGTCACCCCGCTGGGAAGGAACCGAGCTGGGACTTACTCCACAGACCCCAGAGCACACCCTCTTCCCCCACTGCTGTTCCCAGTTGGACTAGGCCCAGGAAGCTTTGGCTCAGGTGGCAGGAGCCCCCTCCAGGTGTTGACCTGGGTGGATGATCTGTGCTGACTCCTCCCACAGGGCACCATGGTGTTCCCACTGCTCCACTCCGTCCTCCATGACCCTGACCAGTTCCAAGACCCGTCCTACTTCCAGCCTGAGAGGCTCCTAGATGCCGGCGGAGCTTTTAGGAGAAGCCCTGCCTTTCTGCCCTTCTCTGCAGGTCAGTGTCCATGCTGCGTGACTCCAAGGAGGAGGCCTGCCCTCTCTGGTCCTCTTTTGTTAACCTAAACTAGTTACTGCTTTTCTGATTGCTGGTTTGGAAGATAGAAGCTACAGCCAGGCTCAGGGAAGGGAAATACAAATCTGCCCCAGCTACACTGAATCCCGAGAGCACAGAGTTCACTCAGAAACTATAAATTGTGTTAGGCCATAAAAAACACCCAAAGCTTAGTTAAAAAAAAAAAAAAAATCCTTTTGGAAAAAAAAAAAAAAGACTAATCCCCCAAGTTCTAAATCAAAGCACATTTAATCCAAAATACTCAATGCTTTTTCAATGATCACTTTTGTTAGAGTTACCAAAAAGTTACAAGCTGTGTAAACACTAGCAAATATTTTTATTTAAACCAGTTTTTAATTGTATGTGTAGTGCAAACACTTGATTTGAAAGTCAAGCAGAACAAGAGTCCACAATGAAAGTGAAGTCTCTCTCCTTGATTCTGTTCCCCCTATTGAAGGTCCTAAGTCCAGAGGTAAACACCTCTTATGGTTTTATGTGTCTCCTTCAGGAATTTGTCTAAATAAAGGCAAGTCCAAATACCAACTGACACACACAGTTTACAAAACCAGGTGAGCCTAGGGTCATAGTCTGTGTTCCAATAATAAAATACCTGAGGCTGGGTATGCTCTAAAGGAAAGAGTCTGTTCAGCTCAGTTTTAGAAGGTGGAAAGTTCAGGGGCTGGATATGTAGCAAAAACAAATAAATAAATAAAGCCAGATGCCAGTGCCAGCCTATATCCCAGCAGCTTGGGAGGTTGAGGCAGGATGGCAAGTTCAAAGCCTCAGCAATTTAGCAAGGCCCTAAGCAACTCAGTGAGGCCCTGTCCCTAAATAAAATATAAGAAGGAGCTGAGGATGTGGCTCAGTGGTTAAGCACCCCTGGATTCAATCCCCAGTACCAAAAAAGAAAAAGAAAATACCCCTTTAAGGAGGAAATCAGGGAATATGGAGCTGAATTCATGATCTTTGGTTTGAATGTCCTGTAATAACAGGTATCAGTCTGTTGAGAAGGTGACCTAATCACCCCTTAAAGGTCACCCTTAATACGGTCACAATGGCAATGCAATTTCAGCATAATTTTGGGAGGGGACTCATTCATTTCATATGAATGTATTCACCCCAATTTCTTCTGCCTCACACACCTGCTCACTTGCCCTTCTGCCATGAGTCACCAGGACACAGAAGTGCCACACTCTTGATCCTCCCAGTCTCCAGAACCATGAGCCAAATAAATAAACTTCCATTCTTTATCACCCAGCCTCCGAATCACAATCCCCCCGCCCTTTTTTTTTTTTTTTTTTTTTTTTTTTTTTTTTTTTTTTCCTTCCTTCCCGATTCCCACCCCCCCCCCCCCCCCTCCCCCCCTTCTTTTTTTTTTTTTTTTTTTTTTTTTCTCTTTTGGACCCAGATGCGCTTTAGCAAAGAGCTTCATCCCAGCCCTTGTTTAGTTTTTATTTTGAGGGACTTTTGCTTAGGGCCTCTCTAAGTTGCTGAGACTGGCCTTGAACTTGCGATCCTCCTGCGTCAGCCTCCCAAGTTGCCGGCATTGCCAGCTTGCCCCACTGCACCAGGCTCAGACTGCGGCCCCGAGGTCCTTAGATCTGCTTCGTCGGTACCGGACTCTAGGGGCCCTGATCTCCGAACCCCCCACCCTCTCGGCGGTACCCCCGCCTCCTCCAGGCGGATCTCCCTCCTCCTCTCCCCGCCCCCTCCCTCCCGGCTGATCTCGGCACCGCCCACTCCCGCAGGGCGCCGCGCATGCCCAGGAGAGGCTCTGGCCCGCGCCGAGCTCTTCCTCTACCGGAGGTGGCTGCTGCAGCGCTTCTCCCCCACCTCGCCTCTGCCCTCTGCGGCCCTGCACCTGCAGCCCCGGGACAGTGGCTTCGGGAAGCAGCCACCCGCTTTCCAGCTCATCCTGCAGCCACTAGAGCACTTCAGACCCAAGGACTCCTCCCACCCTGACAGCCCCCCTCCCGTGGCCTGAGCCTGAGCCTCCCGCAGCGCCTGGCCTCGGCTCCCCCTGTACGCAACGCAGAGGGTTTTGTTGGGTCCACCTTTAGGCTCCGGAGCCTGACTCCACGGTCTGGGTCTTCCCTCCCCTGGCCACTGCTGATTCCTGGAAGAGCAGCTGACACATAGTAGGTGCTCAGTAAACATCTCCTGAATAAATGAAAGTTTTTCAATGAAATCTGGCCCTGACACTTATTCTGGCCATGTGACCCTGGTCAAGTGGCTTCCTTCTCACAGCCTCAGTTCCTTCCTCTGTAAAATGGGGTCATAAAAAAGACCTGCTTCAAAGGTGCGTGGGACAGCACAGCAAAACAGACAAAACTCTTGTCCTTGCAGACCTGCCACAGGGGACTGGAAGGGAATAAAGAGTAATCAAAGGATATAAGAAATTACCAAATTGTATGAAATGACAGAAAGGTATTAAATCTATGGGGGGGATCGCAGCAGGTGAGGGGAGCAGGAGTACGGGAGGGGGCTGTTTGTCATTTCATGTGGGGTGGACAGAGAAGACCTTGCAGAGGACAGAGCAATGGAACAGAAATGTCAAGGTGAGAGTGCTCAGCACGGATGTCTAAATGAGAACAACTCCAGGCAGCGGGAACAGCCCCTGCAAAGGCCCCGTGGCAGAAATGTGCCTGGAGTTTGAAGAGGCAAGAAGGTGAGTGAGCAGAGCTCTGCAGATGGGAACAGAGAGGGGGTACAAATGGAACCTGTAGAAAGAGTTTGGCCAGAGAAGGGACTTGCTCTGATTTTTGGTATTTGGGCTTTGATTTTTGTTTTTGTAGTGCTCAGGATGAACCCAGAGCCTCTCAGGTATTCTAGGCAAGGACTCTACAACTGAGCTACACTCCCAGCCCCTGGTTTATGTCTTAAAGGAATCCCTCTAGCTGCACACCGGTCTGTGCTCAAGTAGCCCCTGAAGTAGGTGCTGGAACAAGGGTCTCCAAAGTCATTTCCTCCATCCCCCTGCCTCCACCCATAGCCTGCAGGAGCAGAGTGCCAGGCCCCAGGTAGCCACACTCTTGTGAGCCATGGAACCTAGGGGAAGGGGAGAGAGGGATCACATACTCCTGCCTTCTCCCCGCCAACTCTCTCTCCCTCTCTCCCTCTCCCTCTCTCTCTCTCTCTCTCTCTCTCTCTCTCTCCCCCTGTCTTTTGCATAACTCTGTCTCAGGTTAGGTAAAATGCTCCGTTAGGCAAAGGCACACAGGGAACCAGGTTTCATGACAACAGCTGAAGCGTCTGCTCCCTACTGCCCCCTGTTGGCTGATGGGTTTATTGCAAGGTGATTTGTTTGCCTGAATCTGCCAGATTCCATCCAGTTGACACATCCTGACCTGGCTTCATTATTAACAGCACCTCTTCCACTCTCTGAACAATCCCAGTGCAGACAATATGTTATACGGTGACTTTTTTTAAATGCACTTTAATTTTACAGCCTGGTTGGGGTTTTTTGTTTGTTTGGTTGGTTGGCTTTTTTGTTACTGGGGACTGAACCTAGGGGTGCTTTACCATTGAGCCACATCCCCAGCCTTTTTTTTTTTATTGTTTTGAGACAGGGTGTTGCTAAAGTTACTTAGGGCCTCACTAAATTGCTAGGACTGGTCTTGAACTTGCAATTCTCCTGCCTCAGCCTCCACGTCAATGGGATGACAGACCTGTACCCCTGTGCCCAGCCTACACTCACCCTTAACCATGACATTGTTTTGTCTCCGCAATAATCCAGCAGCAATTCCTGTTCATTGATCATTTACTCATGCTAGTGCGGCCCTCAGGTATGTCAGGCATTATTGCATTTTACATGTGGCAAAGCAGACACTCCAAGAGGTGGAGGGAGGGATGAACAGGAGCAGATCTGAGGGAGGGTCCTTCTGAATGTTGGGTCCAGGATCTCACCAGCCATGGCTACATGAACACCCAGGGAGTTCTGAAATGGTGGAACTGCGGCAATTTAGGGTCTTGGGGCCAAGGCTTGGCATGGCTGGCTTGCTAGTAAAATTCTGAAGCACCTCCTGGATGGGCTGATAAATACTCACCACCTGAGGGTCCCGAGCCCACCCCAGCACCCTCAGAGCTCCCCAGAATCCAGCACTCAGAGAGTTAATGCTTGCCTCTGCAGCACATCCGGTGTCTAACATCAGGTAACATAATCTCTGCTTAGAACTATAATGGGACAATTCTAGCTGGAGGTGGGGATTGAAGCTCAGGGAAGAACTGTCAAGTTCACACAAAAAGGTAAAGAGAAAGGAGCCAAAGCCTGGGGCCTCTTCTCTGTTGACACTCCTGGGCACAGGCCATCTGAACCCTGGGGACAAACAACACCCCTGACAACAAGCCTTAATCTCTGGAGGAATTTCTCTTGGAAGGAGGCCCTGAGGTCAGAGCAGGTACTCCATCCTCTCTTCAGAGGAACTGGGGCCTGCGGGTCCCCACCATGTTATCCTCCCAAAATACTTCTGTTATCCAATTTTATTTTTATTTTATTTTTTTAGTACTAGCGATTGAACCAATGGACACCCTACCACTGAGCTACATCCCCAGCCCTTTTTATTTTTTAGTTGGAGATGGGGGTCTCACTGAGTTGCCCAGGCTGGCCTCAAACTTGAAATCCTCCTGCCTCAGCCTCCCATGTAGCTGGGATTGCCAGCATGTGCCACGTTCCTGGCTTGATGTCCGTTTCTTGCCTTCTGGGGGTTTAATAAATAAATAGTAACACCGTGTCAGTTGGTTGAATACTGTGAACAAGAACAAAGCTAAGTGGGAGGACAAAGAGCCCTGACCAGGCTTCAGCCAGGCAGTCAGGCAAGAGGGTGAGCCCCCTGGAGGCACTGAGGTCACAAGTCATGAAAATACCCGGGGACTGGACATGAAGCTGGCTCAGCAGCGGCTTGTCCAAAGCTTGAACTTTCGTCCCAAAGGCAGAGGGTAGGGGCATGATCAGAACTGCATTTTGACAAGAGGCCTGTGGCTGCTGTGAAAAGAGGGACAAAGGGAGCTCTTGAGAAGCCAAGGCAGGAAGCAGGCAAGAAGCCTGCTCCACGGTGGCTGCATAAGTCAGCCAGGCTGGCAGAACAAAGTGCCACAGACTGGGTGGCCCCAACAACAGAAAGTACTGGAGGATAGACACCAGGATCAAAATGTCAGAGGCGATGGTTCCTTCCAAGTGCTGTTGGGGGAGTCCCCCGCCTTCCGGTGATTTGCTGCCAACCTTTGGTGCTTCGTGGCCTGGAGACATAGACCTGCTCTCTGATTTCATCCTCGCATGGCCGTCTCCCTATGCATTTCACTCTGTCCAAATGTCCCTTTGGTAAGAACACAACTGTGGGCTGGGGATGTGGCTCAAGCGGTAGCGCGCTCGCCTGGCATGCGTGCGGCCTGGGTTCAATCCTCAGCACCACATACAAACAAAGATGTTGTGTCTGACGAAAACTGAAAAATAAATATTAAAAAAAAAAATTCTCTCACTCTCTCTCTCTCACTCTCTCTTTAAAAAAAAAAAGAAGAAGACAACTGTGTTGCAATGAAGCCACTTGAGGACCTACCGGCACCTTAACTTGACCCTTTGTAAAGACTCAATCTCCAAATAAGCTCCCATTTTCACAGGCAGAAGAGGTTAGGATTTCAATATCATTTTGCAGGGGGACAAATTCAAAGAATAACAGTGGCAGAGATGCAGAGATCTGTTCAAGAGATGCTCAGGAGGTAAACTGGCGGGATCTAGGATGGGATTGGCAGAAGAAACTTGAAGGTCCTCTGTTAAAGGCTTGTTCCTCAGGGGGAAGATATTGGGAGGTGACGGAAATTTTAGGAGTCCGGGTCTGACCGGAAGTCCTTAAGTCACTGGGGTGTGCTCTGTCCTTGGTCTTTGTTCTCCCCCTCCTGGCCACGAGATAAACAGCTTGTCCTGTCGTGTGCTCCCCACCGCGGCCATCTAAGCTAGCACACCCACTAGAGGCCGAAAAGCAATGGACCACAACCTCTAAAACCACAGGCCACATCCCTGATACAAAAACAAGGAAACCATAGGCCAAAATAAGCCTAAGAGTTTTGTTACAGTGACAGAAAGATGACAACGCACCTGTACTAAATGCTTTCCCTACAGTATCATACTGAGTCCTGAGAGTTGTCTATTGTGAACTGTGTGATATACAGAGAACACGCTCACTTCAAAATACTTGTTAAAAATAATCATTTTATAAAGAAGGACACTAAGCGGTAGGCTGGCGAAGTCACTTGTCCAAGGTCATGCGGATTGTAGATGCTGGAACTGAAAATTCTGACTCAGGTGTGATTGACAGAGGCTCAAATCTCAATCACTTCTCAAGAAAACCGGCTTCTAAAAGTTCCTGCGGCTTCTAGGAAGACTCCCCCCTCTAGTGCCCACTCCGAACCAAAGTTCCCATTTTTGCAAACAACTTCCCTTTGTCGTCTTTGCTGAATTTCCCGATCTACTTGGGCAGTTGAGAGAGTCCCTGTAGGAAAGACAGGGAAGATGAAGGCAGATCCATGTCCAGGAGGAGGTGTCCAGGGAGAGGGGCGCGCACAGGATCTAGGTGGCACCATACATCCCCGTCTATGAATCATCCCCACAACTCGAAGTCGATACTATTACTATCTCCATTTTTAAAGTGAATAAAATGAGGCTAAGATAAAGGCTGCATCCCAACCTGAGAGATTAAGAGGCTTCCGCTGGGCAGTGCTAGCCGGGATTCAAGCTCAAAGTAACAATCTAAGTCTGAGCTCTTAGTGGTGAGCGCCCCCTGGTGGCGACTGGCCCGAATTACAACAAGATAGCGTAACTGAGGGCCAGGCGTTGTTCCAGGTTCTTGGATTTCATTTAAATTTATTTCTTTAATCCCTTCTCCTAAGGAGATTTATCGCTTTCATCCCCTCCCCACTTTTCATTTTTTTGTTCTTTCTTTAAAAAAATTGTTTCATTGTGGGAGATGTCAATCATTCAGCTCTAACGACAATCCACTCAAGGCCAATCTTGTCTATACTCCCAATATTCCCCTCCACGCCCCTCCAAAAAAAATTTTTCCAGAATTATTTAAATCAAAGCCCAGACACTGTATCCATTCACCTGTAAATATTTTCACTATGTATCTATAAAA